TTTCCCTTTGTTGGGGGTGTGGCGGGGGTGGGGTGGGAACCAACAAAGGGAAATGACCCTGGGAAAGAGGTTGGTAAAACATATTCTCCTGGCCAGTTGTATCAGGGAATTTGGAGTACAGTGAGAAGAGTATGCATACTGCTGTTAGGGTGTAAAATTGCTCAACTAGACGAGAGGTGAACAAATGATCATCACGTTACAAAAACGAGTTTGAACTTTGGCTACTGTGTCAACTAATCTGATACACTCCAGCGTTGTAACATAAGACAAAACGAAGAGATTTTAAGCTTTCTCTACCGGACATTTTGTTGGTTTGCTGAAGTTCAACAAATTTCACGGTCAAAAGATTCTTAGATATGGTAGAGGACCAAATCAAAAACTCCTACTCGCAGTCAATTTACTTCGATGAACCTAAAGTTAAAGACAGAGTCGGAAGATCACTCCTTGCCACTTTGCCTGCAGCGCTTGCCTCGCTCAGCAGTGGTTACTGTTGGGGATATTCGTCGTCCGCTTTAGAGGATTTGCAAAACGCAGGCACATCCTCCGCCTTTCGCTTAACTGTTGAGCAAGGGTCCTGGTTCTCGGTAGGTTTTGTCTTTGAAATTTAAGTAACAAGTAGATAAGTTTAACGTAACTCCCCCTTAAACTTGAATCAAATATATAAAACCAACGCGGTCCTTACTGTACGCCCGACAAACGAACTGGCACATGGCTTGGCTAAAAGAATCACTTGACAATCACTTGATTTTGTTTTTATAAAGAGCGTGGCAGTATGTCACGCAAAACATCTGTTACACCCGAGATTTTCAAAGCACAGGTAGCGCATGTCCGTGACTAGAGACGAGCCAGAAGACGAATGTTGATTCTCGGATAACAAGATATCACGCATTTTAGCTCAAAGTGTAAATGAAAAATAAGAAAACTGACTATTCATTTCAAATAAATACAACAAAAGCTTTAGAACTGTTCATCGGCGTGGCGGAAAAACGCAACAATTGTTGACATTCAGTTTTTATTTATTATCTCAACAAATATTTACAGCAATAACACCTACAATATCTCATTTTAAAGTGTATAAAATGAGCTTTTCAGGAATATATAAATTTTATAATTGAAACCAAGGACTTTCCTGAAAAAATAAATTTAAAACACAAAATAAGTAAAATAATAATGCAAAACTCGAGGTAAAAGTCACTTATCCTCATTAGCCCAGGATATGGCAGATTATTTAATACCACAAATTTATCCTTAACATGTTAGCAATATGACCTGAAAATTCGAAAGAAAAAGAACAAATCTTGATTTTTTTGGGAATTTTCATTTGCGCCCATATCATTCGAAATCAATTTCAAAAATTCAAAAATATGCATTTCCATGGTAGCAGCCGGTCGAACGAGGTATCGATTACACTTCGAATCGCTTCGCAGTTATTGCTACAAAACATGTTCTCGGCGTAAATGTTCTCGGAGTAGATTACTGTTAATTGGAGTCATGTAAATCAATTTTAAATCGAATTTGAGGGCTGCGCGAGAAATCAAGCAGAAAAGGACAGCCTGAGGCGATTTCAATTAAGACCACGCGGTCGATCACAGGCAGCCCAAGCTGACTACTAGAAAAGCGGACGTCTCTCTTACAGTGTTGCGCAACGTTTTATATTTATAAAGGTTTCTATGGGATGTTAAGAGAGAAAAAGAGAGAAAAAAATATCTTGTTTTCAAATAAAATAGATTTACCTTATTGCATTGTTATTTTTTTG